GTAGGGGGCTGTTCACAGAAGGCGTGCATGGTACGCAAGCATGCAAGCAAAGGCCTAATGGCAGAGTCAGGCTAAAGGCCTAGTTAGCGCAGGATCAGAGAGCATGCATGCAGGCTCAAGATAGGAGATGTGCGCGGGCTAGCTTGGTGTGGCAGAATTAAATAGGCAGGATGGTGAGTGTGCCTTGGTTGAATGTTAGGTGTCACAAAAGGCAGAGGTGAACGCTTCGGTGTGTGAGAGGCTTCTTCCGTGGGTATTTGTTGGTGTTGCTCTTGCGATCAAAATCATTATGTAGTTCTTGATTAAAGATTGTAGATCTTTTTGAGGTGGAGCTTTGGTAGCTAATATTCTTGATCATGTCGATACATAAATTCAAAATCAACAAATTTCTTGGTGAAAATGATTTTGAATTATGGAGAATTAAAATTAAGTATCTCCTTGTTCATGAAGGAACATCTGAGGTGATCTCAAGGAAAAATATGGCTGCTGTAACTAACAGGGCAAGGGTCAGGCAAACCCAATTGAAGGTTCATAGTGAGATTCTTTTATTGCTTGATGATGAAGTACTGAGAGAAGTAGCTGAAGAGGGATAGAAGTCTGGGAGAAATTGGAATCATTGTACTTGAAGAGATCATAGGCCAATCAGTTGTATCTAAAGAAAGCTCTATATACACATTGCAAGTAAAGACCTAAAAAGTACATTAATGAATTTAATAAAATTATTCTTGATCATAAGAATGTAGATGTAAAATTTGAGAAGGAAGATCAAGACATTATTCTCCTAAGCTCTTTGCCAAAATCATATGAGAATATAATGGATACATTACTATATGGTAAGCAAATGTTGACTATGACCGAGGTAAATTCGATTTTGATGTCCAAACAACTTTAGCGTAGGAATGAGGATAAAGAAGAAAGTGTTGGCAACATTCTGATGGCAAGAGAAAGACATAAGTTCGATAAGAAATGTTCTATTGCCATAAAGAAGGGCATTTCAAAAAAAAAAAACCCATATTTGTTGAAGCGGCAAGGAGCTAGTCCTAAAGATGATGCCAACTTAGCTGAGGCGGCAGATTTGGGAGACATTGAGTCACTCAAATGTTTTGTAAATCTGAACCAATGTGGAGTTTGTTGTGATTGGTCTAGATTTATAGTTGTATTTTCTTTAGTTTAGGTTATTGTGTCGCTTTTTGTGCTACCATTAGTGTTTATATATACATGCTATAGTTTGTAATATGGAAATATAAGAAAAGCAATAAGATTTTTATGTTTTTAGCTCTCTCCCTCTTCCCTTTTCTCTCTCTCCCTCTCTCTCTCTCAAGAAGCTCAAGAGGAACTTCTTCTTCCTCAAGAAGATCCTACATTTTTCTTTCAAGACTCTTAGAAATGATTATATATATAAATCAATAGTAAAGATAGTTCCAAATTATAGTTCTAACCAATTGGAACCTGCCAGTAAAAGAAATAATACATTTCTTCCACCCCTAAGTTAATATTGATGTTTTCCACGATTTTATAAGTGTTATTGGCTTTTGATTCGTGATGACATAAGGGTTATACTAAGATAATTTCAAGATAGAGGCACTAAATAGAGCACTCAAATGATTTTGTAGTTGGGAGTTGCAGATTTAGATTAGTAAAATTGATACGTCATCACAAAATTAGCTTGATCGGGCACGAATCTCGAGGCAAAAGTTAGTTGGAGACCTCAAAAATTAAATTCGGGAGCACCTGAACTCCGATTTCAGCAAGCTTACAGTCAAACTGAACGTCTCGGAAATACGAACCCAACGACACCAAGATCAACCCAATCCGAGCCCAAAATGAGTCCGAATCAAGGGCTCAAAGTGTTGTCGGAAGGTTTAAACAGCAATTGGAGTTACCAAACGGTCTCCGATTTTTACGATCTTATACTCGAATTGAACGGCTCGACGAGACAAATCCAACGAGCCCAAGATTGCTGAATTCCAACATCATTAAGGACTCCAAATGGCCAACGAACGGTGCATGGTCGTAGGATTCAATATCGGCCGTCCATTCAACCACTCCCTATTCGCCCCTGATCTCACGCCTATTTACGGGCCATGTCACTCCAGAAAATCTATAAATAGTGCCCTCATTCACAAGATGATCCAAGCAAGAAGAGAAGAGGAGAAGAGAAGGAAGATGAGAAGGAAGAAGCTCCTCCTCGACCACCGCCGGAACCTCACCCGACCACCGCAGGAGCCTCGCCGGACCACCGCCGGAGCCTCGCCGGACCACCGCCGCAGTTTCTCCGCACCACCATCCCGGCCGACTACGGTCTCCGGCCGACTACGGTCTCCGGCCGACTACGGTCTCCTGCCGACTACGGTCTCCGGCCGACTACGGTCTCCTGCCGACTACGGTCTCCGGCCGACTACGGTCTCCTGCCGACTACGGTCCTTCCGACCAAACGAACATGTATATGTCACTCCTACCATGTAATGCAATCTATATGATGTATATTTGCTACATCAATCCAAGGCCTTCTCCCAAGGAAGGGCCTCATTTGTAATCGACTACAAATACTAGTGGATTCATTCAAACTGGGCCTGGCCCCGTGGTTTTTCCCCCTTTCAGGGGTTTTCCACGTAAAAAACTCTGGTGTCTCTTATGAATGCTACACCCTCTCACTTATCTAATTGTGTGCTGGATCTTCGTACAATACTAAGACATTAAATTATATTTCTCTACCGCCGCGAATACTCCAGGACGCAACAAAAATAAATGACTTATTTATGTTCTTATTGATCCACCGAGGTTTAGATTGGTTGGTAAATGAGGTTCGACCTGACCTTTTTAGTGGGACAAAACAAATATGAAACAAATGCCGGTATATGATTCCTCTAGATTCCACGGAGGGATTAATAATGCCTTAAAGTGGCAGCAGGTAGAAAATGTTGCCATTGAGATCGAGGAATTCCTTGACTTGGTTAAAGAGTAGACTTAGAAGATGTGATGGAGTAATCAGCCAAAAAAATAGCCATACATAAAAGGGAGATCGAATTTTTTTCTGCTGATGCGGTAAGCGCCGTTTTTTTTTTTTTATTTTTATTTTCTGAAATAACGATGGTGCTCTCGCTTTGGTCGGTGAAACCGCAGTGGCGGGTGCTGCGATCCAAGCTCGTTTCTTTGATCGTTGTGCTTCTCTCGCACTTAGCGCTTGCTATGGTTCCCTGCCTATTCCCCTTCCTCTCCCTCCTTGCTATGCTCCCAGTCGCAGGTTCCCTGCCTATTCCCTTTCGCTTTTTCCATGTTAGATATATCTTCTTTCAACAAGTAAACTGATTTTGAAATTAGTTGTGGGGGGAATCAAAATCAGTCTTTTTGCAGCTTTGGTTATGGTGTCAACGTACGCCTTGGCTGGGTGGTTGAGGCGGCTATTAGATATGACGGCTTCAGCTCCAGCCATGGTTATTATCCATATTTTGTTCGTTTGGGGAGTTTACATCACAGTTATCCGTGAAGGTAAGATCTTTCCTTATAATTTCTCTTTTCTTTTTCAAATTGCATTTTGTTCTTTTTTGTTGGTTTGGCAAATTAATGAAGTTCCTGCTCTGTTTTTTTTCTATGCTTCGTTGTTAGGGCTGTTTGGCAACAAGCAGGATTTATCTCAAGTAGGAATTAGTAAATCCTGTAAATCCAGATTTAGCAAATCCTGAAAACTATTTGGCATGTCATATGGTAAATCATGTTAAATGCTCACAAACAAATTACAAACCTTATTTTTTTCCTATTATTTTATGCATTCTTGAGAGCATACTCTCACAATTGCCATTGATATTTCACTACTATATAAAGATAACAGAGAAAAACACGGAAATCATTAATTTCACATGTAAGAAAAAGTAGATCTATGAAGAATGAAACTCCTTTTCTTAACTCATATATTAAACCACCAAATTATTGCCAAAATCACTCGAAAATTACACATTCATCAGCTGACATTGCTATGTTCAACACAGTCCCGACGAAGGAACAAGCGAAAAAAATGTGAAGAAATGGAAAAAACCTGCAAGATTTGCATTGCCAGACAAACAAACTCACGAAGTTAAGCGAGGAAGAGGAATCGAAGATGATGGTGTAGGTATAGAGAGTTGCGAACCAATCGTTGTAGTTAAAGGGATCCTCACCTGCTCGATGACAAGGATGATGTGGGAGAGTTTTCACGTCGCAGTAAATCACATCAAATTTGTCAAACGTCGAGATTTACTAAATTCCAAATTTACGCCCAAAATTGGTAAATCCAGGATTTGAGATTTATTTGAATTTACAACGCCATGTCAAACCGTTTGGTAGGATTTACGATAAATCTAGGATAATTCTTGCTTAAAACCGGCTATCAAACAACTCGTTAATCCACATTCTATGGCCATCTTTGCCAATCATTTTGTTTCATTTATCAATATAGAGCTATGAATCTCTGATACTATCTAAGAAGATCATGAACAATAAAGTTTTTGGTCATGTATGTGCATCCATATGCTTGTGTAGTAGGCGAGGATCAAACCCAAGACATTGGCAATAACTTCCACAGTCCTTACCAAATAGCGCTCGTAAGATATACAAGATGCACAATGTATATAGAGGCTTTTTTCCTATGGATTGTAAATGAAAAATTTTAACTCTCTTTCTTTATCAATATATATGTATATACATATATTATTCAAAGATCCCAAAGTTTAATCAAGGTCGTTCATCTTGAAATGCATCCTTATATATAGTTAGGAAATACAGTTTAGTACATTTTAATGCCATTTGATTTTTAATTAAAGGAATTCAATGTTTTACTGATGAAAGGCCCAGATATTTTGCCACAACATTCATAATATTGAACATTATAATTACTCACTTCAAATAAATTTTATATGCATTTACTACTTAGGCTTCGTTTGGGACAGCTTTCTTATTGCTTTGTAAATGAATTTTCTAGTACAAAAATTTTGAGTTCACAAAAATTTTATACTAAGAAGTTGCTTTAGAAAGCAGTAAGAAAGCTATCTTAGACAAAACCTTAATTTTATTCAGTCTAATGATTTTGAACATTGGAAAATGCATTAAAAAAAGGTTTTAATTTTATTAATTAAGCATCATTCATTTATTTTGTAATTCACTACAAAATAAGATTCAGTCTAATGATTTTGAACATTGGAAAATTCGGTTAAAAACAAGTTTATTTTGCATTTTTTACCCGTACATTTTTATCCCTACTTGTTTTAAATGTTACATACCAAAATCAATGGTTTTGTTTTTTGCTTTGATGCGTTCACAATTAAAATCCAAAGTAGAGGTAAAAGATTATGTTCTTATCCATAGGATTGAAACCTACTCAATATTTACTAACATTATTTAATGCTCGTAGACACATACATACTCTATAATATACGAGAAATTTTTTTTCTTATTGTTTGGCATAAATCTTAGGAACACTGCAAGAGACAACTATATTGAGGAAAAATGATAGAGGAAGAGTGTGACTGTTAATCAAGTTCAAAATTTGGGAAACGCCAAATGAGCTATTTAGAGGAAATGTTAGTGTCTATAAAATTAAATTCATTTAAGATATATTTGACTTGGAGTAACTTGGATTATGTCTGATTTGTGTTAAACACATGTGGATGCTATCAAAGGGGTGTCTAAGAAGTGTTTAGTTTTTAATGATAAAGTAAAAAAATTGAGACAACCCAAATGGGCTGTCCTTTAAGCTAAACGTTCATTTATAAATGTACATGCTCCATAGATATGGACTATTTAACTTTTATTTCAATTTATAATTCTTAGATTTTGGTAGAGGCATATTCTTTTACTTGATGCTGAACTTGGTGGTATATTTTTAATGTACTGAACTGACTGAAGCAAAATATCATGGTACCATGACATGCAGCAATTCCAAACTTACTGGATGCGATTCTGAACATGGAATTTATTCTGCTCTTTATTGGTCTTTACAGGTGAGTTCCATCTTATATTTTCTCACTATCACATCTGTTTGACATGATCTACTAATGGCATATAAAAATCGATGGAATAATTGCTTATTTATCAGTCGTCACTTAGTTTTGGAAGAAATTATCCATCTGCCCGAGGAAGTGCATGCATTTATGATTGTCATCTCCAGCTTGTGGCTTTAACTTCAATTCATTTTCGCCAATATTGTTCTGTTTAAATTGAATCTAAATAGTTGGGATATAACGATGATGCTCTGTGTCTAAGTTGTAGTAATTTTTTCGGTTGAAGCAGCTTGAGTTCCTATTAAAATGCATATTTGACAGATTTTTATGATATATATGCTATTTCAATTTATTGTAGATGAGCTCATCAGTTTGCTTATCTTGGTGATATTTGTACATGATATCATGACTTAAAATGTTCCTCTAAAGCATTGAGTAGGATTCCACGGCTTGTTTTACAGATAATGATTACTACATGATAGCCAGGACCAAATTCTCTGCCACCCTCTAACATGCTATCACTGTTTGCAGAATTTTTTATGGTGATCCCGGAATTGTACCAGTTAAATCAACATGCACCGGAGCACCTGAACAAACTGATAATTCCGATGTTGATCTCTCAAACAAGGTTTGAGAGTGAACATTGAAATTCATGAATCATATATGTAATTTATATTCTGAATGAAATTTACCTACAGCAGAGTTAATGGCGACAAGTTGTTTTGAGGATTGTTTCAAAGTAGTAGAATCAGATCTTTATAGTCCTTGATATATTTTTGTGAAAAGTCAAATCATAGTTTGTTATTTATAGATTCACCTTTAAATGATTACCTAGTTTGTATATTACATGATCAAGATACTTCATCTATAAAATCATAAATCTAGTGGATATGCTATGCATGGCAATTTATGATGTGGTGCAGCTTAAGCTTAGAGCCTGTGCCGGTTCTACAGACACATTCGGTTATCCAACAGGACCACTTACACATTCTTTTGTTCCCTTTTTCAGTATTTGCAAAAGTAGTAATACCTAGCAACTACTTTCTGTTAGCTATCATTAACAATATTTTCTTTTATACCTCAAGTCTTGTACTTATAGGCTGTAAGAGGAAGAGAAAAGATAGACAATAGAATATGCAATACTTTCCCTATTCCATTGCCTTGTCTTCAGTTTTTGTGCAGGTCTTCAGTTGCAGCGATCGAGCGTGCTTCCTCCAGCCAAGTTCCACACCAGCTAATATCAAAGCCTTAGTCGACGAGCTCTAGGATGGCCGAGAGCAGCCGATGAGCAGCTCCTAACGAAGATTGAAGCTCAAATGCTTTGTGGAATACCCTAACAAACATCACCCGAGAACTGACCGAACTTTCTGCGGATTTCAAGCAATTTGCTATTGAGACACGGTGGGATATTCAAATACTTAAGCAAAACAATGTCGCATTCTAGGGTGCGAGGCGGGTAGTACAGGAAGACTCATCTCTTGTCCGACGGGGACCTGTTGGTCTCGAACAAGCACCCTGGGGAATCGCTGCTGTGAATCCCGCATATTCCGATTCCGATGAAGAAGAAGGGTGGCAGCAATCGACGACCGAGTTCGTCGAACCAGAGGAATGAGGGTACGAAGATCGTATGGGCATGAGGCAGGCTCGGAATCAACTGCCGAACCACCAAGGAGAGTTCCGTGTTAAAATTGATATTCCGTTTTTTGAAGGGCGCCTGCATATTGAGGATTATCTCGACTGGGAAAGGGTTGTAGAAACGTTTTTTGATTACATGGAAATTCCCCTCGAAAAACAGGTTAAGTATGTGGTGCAGCTTCTACAGACCTGATGACGTGAAGGAAGGGGAGCTGTTCGAAGATGGTATAAGATGAAACAGTTGATGAGAGGGCACTTTCTTCCAACTGATTATGAGCAATTGCTCTACCTGAGATATCATCGTTGTATCCAAGGGCAATGATCCATTAGTGATTATACAAAGTAATTTTATAGATTGAGCTCTCGTAACAACCTTAATGAATATGGTAATCAACTAGTTGCCCGCTATATCGGAGGTTTGAAAGATCCCATTCAAGATAAACTGGAATTTAACTCCGTTTGTACTCTCTCGTAGGCCATCAATTTTGCTCTTAAAGCTGAGGCGCAAATGCTCAGGCACTCCAAGAGTAGTTCCAGTTGACGCCAATTTTCAAACCACATCAATGACTCCCGAAATCTTGCATTTCCCAGCAAGCCCACGACGCCTATCCCAACTCCTAGCTCCACTGCGGGTCTGGGAAATGATCTAAAGGCGTCACCAAAACCTTGCCCGCCGCTTAAGGATAATCCGTATGCCAGACCCACAACTCTCAAATGTTTCCATTGTTTCCAACCAGGGCAAAAGTCTAATGAGTGTCCGACAAGACCATAATTTCAGATTGTGGAAGGAGAACCAAAAGATAATACAGAAAATGTGCTAGAAAATTCTGACAATGTTGTCGAAGATCTTATAGTTGATGAAGGTGAAGCCATAATATGCATCTTGGAGAAGCTACTGTTAGCTCTGCACCAACCCACAATATCCCAACGAAATGCCATCTTTCCTACACGTTGCACAGTTAACGAAAAAGTTTGTGAACTGCTCATTGACAATGACTGCACTGAAATGTTGTCTCGCGCTCCTAAGTACAAGCCCTCCAACTCAAAACAACTAAAAATCTTCAGCCTTACAAGATCAGCTGGGTCAAGAAAGGGATGAATATTCTTGTCACCGATATGTGCATGATCAATTTCTCTATAGGAAAACATTATGTCTACGAATTTCTTTGCGACGTCATTGACATGGACGTTTGTCACATTATATTGGTTCGACCATGACAATGTGATAACGGAGCCGTATATGATTGCCGCTAAAATACTTATTGGTTTGATTGGAAAGGTCGTAAACTGAGGCTTTTGCCAAATGCTTGGCATTGTTGGTGGAATTTTAAAAACGAATTTTGAAAAATATTAGTTTTCTTTAGGAATTTTAAAATCGACTTTTAGTCTCCAATTTTGAGATCGAACATCCCATTAGAAAAATCATACCACTTCGCGAAGTGGAAATAAGATTTCAAAGCAGGGTTCAAATCTAAAATTACAAGTCCTACTTTGAATACGACAATTAGAAATCATATCAAACTCGATGATTGGCACGATGCTGCCTCTCATCCAAATCTAGATCATGACGTGGGTTATGTCCATGGTAAGGAGCTCAATGATTGGCACGATGTTGCCTCTCATCCTGGTAGGTTTAATCCCCGTACATAGAAGGTGGTCTAGATGGGGTGTAGGGAGTCGGATGCTCTCTCTTTAGCTCACTCAAGTGTGTCAAATCTCTCAGTGGTGTTCCTACGAAACTTAGCTAGGTCGGCTTGATTCTCTTTGAGTTGCTGGCTAATATTGTTCATTTGGCCTACCAACAAGTCTAAGGTCCTTCCTACATGTTTTGGGTCCATGGCTAAATGCTAGGGGAACGCTAGGGAAGGTAACGAGGTGGTGGACAGCAGCTAGACACTAAGGAAATATGCTCCTAATGCCTCTAAATGATGCTGAAATCAACAAGACAGCAAACTACAACAAAGATCTAAGTTGTCTAAGTGTTTTAGAGGGTTTTTAGAGTGTGGACAGCACTTGAACACAATTCTAGACTCACCGGTATGCCACTAATTGGTGCAGGAAATTACTGGACAGCGGGAAAAACAGTGAACTAAGGCTAATTAAACAATGGTATGCTTGCAAACAAGTACATGGTTGGTTAGGTAGACTCCTAGGATGTTTTCTAGCATATGTCACCTATGCCTATCATGCTCTGATACCAGATGATGCAGGACATATATGAAAATTTGATTTAGATAAGGATTTTACACGCTTATTGAGTAAGAGCTAATTAATTAAAGCTTTGTGATGACTCAAACAAAGAAATAAAAATAAAGAACGGTAAACACAAGCTTAGGCCAAGTTACTTGCAAAATGTAAAAACCACATAATAATCAATTGATCTAGACGTTGCAAACAAAATGGGTTTCAACAAGAAATCCCTAATCTAACAATAAGAGTAGTGCTATTAAAGATCTCTCAAGCAATTCCTACTAACTACTATGCTTGTAGCGGAGCTTGACAAGACTTTGCATGAATCAAATAAAACTGCAAGCGAGAATCAACGAAGAAGGTAAGAGATAAGGAAAGAGTTCACCCTTTGCTAAGTTTTGATCTCCTCGCAAGCTTGGACAGCAGTTGGCGGCTTCCTGGATGGCTCGGGCAGCAACAACCCCAGCCCAAACTGTGGACAGCAAGCAGCCACACCTGGGGCAGCGATTTCCCGACATATTCAGGCAGCAACAGTGGCTTCCCAAGGGGCTGGACGGCATGGAACTCTTGCTGGAGTCAGTGGATAGTAGGCAGGTGCTCTTGATAAAAGCCTTGACAGCAGTTTTGGCAATTGGAAAAACTCTAGACAGCAAATTTGGATAGCCACGGGTGCAGAACAAATCCTCGGCAGCAGTTTTGTGAACCTTCAGGTTGAGGAAAAATCAAGAGCAGGTGCAGAAAGTTCTGGCAGCAGACTTGGAGTGCAGGAAAACTCAAACCGCATGGAGTTTATGAAGAATTTAGAGAAGGTAAACCTAGTAAAATTACTAGGGAGGGAGGCGGGCAAGTGTGGCCAGCTTTTGGAATTGTTTCCAACTTGAAGGGGGCTGAATTTTGGGAACAGAAATTTGAAGTGGGCCTTGGAGATTCTGGTCAAGTGAAGGGGGAAAGAATTTTAATCGTTTCCATTAGAGAGGGTGGGTTTTAGGAAACAAATCCAATTCAATTCCTTAGAGGGGGGCGGCAGCTTTTAGAGGGGAAATAGGGATTAAATGCAAGGGCTTAATGCTTGCTTAATTAGGGAAGTGAAATTAAATCCCCTTCAATCAAATATTGAATTGAGGATGAGGTTTAAAATTTTTCTAAAATAGACTTTGTATTTTAGGAAAGATTTTGAAATTCAAATCACTTGGATTTGAATTCAAAAATCTCTTCCTAATTTATTCTATCTAGATTAGGAAATATTTGAACACCAAAGGAAGGGAAGTTCACAGGAGGCCGGTGGCTAGGATGGATGGCCGCCGGTTTTGGTAGTGGGAAGATGAAGTTGGTTCGGTGAAGAGGGGATGGGTTCGGTGGGGGTGTGGGGTTTGGCCGTGAGCGGGGTAAAGGGGATATGGCCGGCGGCTTAGGGATTTCGGGGAAGTCTAGGCCGGCGGTTAGGAGAAGAGGGGAAGGAGAAGAAGAAGATAGAGAAATAAAACCACGAACCCGGACTCTTCCAAGGTTGGTGGGTGATTCGCTTACCCTCTCCTAGGGATTTCTCTCCAAAGCTCTCAATCTCTCACACAAACACAAGATTGTAGGAATTTTCATTATCATTCAATCATTAACCTCTCCAAAGGAAGAGGGTGGCTTTAAATAGCCAAATACATGAAGGGGAAATAACAAAGACACAATTGCCCCTAGGTCATACATAAGACAAAGCCCTCAAGTGAGGGTAGAAAGAGAAAATGAACAATAATAAATCAAAATAAAAGGCACGATCGTAGCCGTAGATTTCTGATGTCCTCATCACAAAATGTTTAGAACAAAGCACACAATAATATACTAAAAGTTAGGTGGTGAAAATATCATAAAATTTGAGAAAAATATATTTTTATTCATATAATTTTAGAAAATTATTGGAATTGAAATCAAAGACAAGTGTTTAGAAGTTAACCTCATGCTCTAGGAAATCCTTAACTTGCCCGACAGACAAATCTCGAGCTACGGCCTCCAAAAATCCCTTTCTTCTTTATCCTTCTTTTCTTCCTTCTCCGGCAAGGGGGTTGGTATGCGGAGGGTTAAAATGGATTAAGATGTTTTATATTGAAAAAAAACATCATTTTAGATCCAAAGTCGCTGTCGCCTACTACCCTAATGGTGTTGTGCTCAACAAATTATTTCAAATCCTCCCAGATTCCTCAAAACTGAGAGTTAAGCATCACAATGCTCCTCTAAATCCTCTTCCCAGACAGAGAAAACAAAGTTGCGGTGCCACCTCTCCCAACGACGCAGTGCTCCAAAGACACTTTGGCTACTCATGATTTCATCTTTTCCAATTTAAATTCTTGGCTTATGTAGGGTTAATCAAGCATCATAGGACTTATAATGGATAGCCAAATCAAAGTTAAGTGAAGATTCATTCTAACTTAAATTAATTACCTGAGTTCTGGAACAATGGGTGTTACATACATAGTGAAGTATATATTCGTCTTTGTTTCATCTCATCTTTTCTAGCAAATTCATCAAGCAATATTGCTGTTCTGGTTCAATATATTCTTAATTATGTAATTCTTTTACAGGGTTCTCCACTTTTATCTAGAGTTAGGTATTGCTACTTTTGTAAGAGAAATGTCAATCGGTTCGATCACCATTGTCCTGCATTTGGGAATTGCATAGGTTTGTCTTATATGCGCTGAATCACAATATCGTAGCTGATTCAATTGTGTAATGATTTCTACATCAGATCATAATCTATTTGTTATCAAATTGATGTGCTGTGCAGGTCAGAAAAACCATCACCTATTTATGGTTCTTGTTATTGGCTTCATTATAACGGAGGCCACGTTTTCACTTTGCTCGAGTCAATGTATGTCATGGCATTAATGACCAACTTGTCAATTAGCATTTTACTTGACGTTTTGGTTCTATGTGGGGGAAATGATATCCTTTAAGCGAGAAAAATACAACATAATCTTAAAGTGATTTTATGATTATATGACTTTTCTCAATTATCTATAATAAGCTATTTTCACTCTTCTTTAATGAAGTCAGGATCCTTTATCAACAAATCTCAGCTTTGATCTCCTAGAATGAAAAATTAATTTAAGATTTTGGTCCATAAAAATTAGAGAGTTCGATAGGGAGGTTTTGTTTCTCAATTTTCAAATTTTATTGCAATTACTCCTTTTTTTTTTGTATTGCAATTTCTCCTTATAAATGATTGTATTATTGCAGATATCAAAGTGTCATCTCTTGCAAATAGTGGGAGGTTTGAGGTATGTCCGGAAACAAGTCTCATGTTCTTTCTAATTTAGACCAAGTATTATCTTTTTGCAGAATCTCTCGTTTTAGCTTATAAATATAGCACAAATTGTAGTGCCTATATGAAGGTATTTTGTAGATTTCACTTATGCAGAGTTTCTGTTGGGCTTAGGCTGTGGTCTCTGTGACATTATCAAATATGTATAAATAAATAAAAAAAAGGATGGAGGTGGGGCTGATTAATTATATTTGGCTATGTGAGTTAATGAGCCAAATTTGAGCATGCTTAATTGTTATTTGGCTTACCTCGTTAAGGAAACAAACTAAAATTTTTTATTTGTGTTCAATCTTTAACCTATTGAGTCGAACATGGGCTATTCACAGACATAAAGTCTATTTGAAAGTCATATATAAAATGTAGAAAATACATGTTGTCATGTATATGTGTATTTATCTATACAAATATGAATAAATACAATCTATTCATGTGTATAAGCACACATATACACATAAGCACACATAGGCTATGATGCCGGAGCTGAGCTGATTTATCCGATTAAACTTCAGTCTAGTTTTATTTCTTTTGGTAGCGTATATGGCTACATAGAATTAGCGCTATCTTGTTTTGAGTGTAGCTTATTATGGGTTACATTTGTCTATAAATAGGAGCCTTTGCTTGTAACAGAGATTAGATTGTTGAGATGAATATGATTTGAGTTTAGTCTCATGTGTTTTCCTGTATCTTAAGAGTGATTCTTAGGTGGTGGATCTTGCTCCAAAGAGTTCTTCGAATGGCGTCTGACGACCGCCACCGGATCGTCGACGTGGATTCGTCGAGCCCCCTCCGGTCCAGTGTCATTTGGTATCAGAGCCAATAGGCTCTTCTTGCTCTGTATCCTGAGAATATCTCAGGTGGTGAAGAGAAGAACCTGGCGGAGAAGCTCTCAAGGCGATCCAACAATCGCCAAGCATTCAAGAAGTGTGGTGGCTGTAGTTCTTCATCCACAGAACAGTTCTTGTTCTTCCGGAGACCGTTCTTGCCTTTCCCCTGTTCCAGAACGGTGCCATTTATTGCCTTTCAATTGCAAAGATCAACAAGGAGAGTACTTCTTGTTTTGTTGGAGGTTCGTCCAAGGTGAAACAAAAATAAAATTGGTATTTCACTTCAATTGGTATCATGTCCAAGGTAAAGCTTCCCGTTTCAATCCCTACTGGAGATTGTTCTTCATCCAGGAAGAAAGAAACCTCAAGGGAAACCATAAGAAGCCATCAAGAACAGCGGTTTCTGCCTCCTAAATTGGTCCGATTGTTGTCCTGTTTTTCACGACCTCCAGAGGTCTGAAAGTCTCCAAACAGCCGGATCCTTCATCCAAAACAACTAGCCTTTTCTTGCTGCATTACGTGCCAGCCAGCTAGCAAGAACCACGAAATAGTGGATTGGAAGGAGTCCGAGTGGTGATTGTTTCTTTGAAAAGATGTCACCTCATCGAAATGATCAACAACCACTTCAAGAAGTAGAAATCGAAGATCTCCTACAAGAAATCGTCCGACTCAAACTAAGATTGTTAAGTATTGAACGAAGATCCTTACAAACCGACGACGATGACGAGGGAATTTTAGATGATCAAATCTCGTCAACCCCACCCTCGATCGAGTTTAGCTTCGAAGAAATTGAAGATCCATTGCTGAAATCGCCGTCTTTGCCTTTCTTTGATGAACCCGTATATGACTTGTATGATGACGACATATTTGGTGGAGTTCTTGATCTTCGTCAACCCATATATGATGATGACGCAAGCGAGTTAGATGCCTCCCTGGAGCCTCAAGTGACACTCCATCTGGACATTCCTCAGGTGCTTCAAGATGAGTATGGAGGATGGTTGAGCCCAAAAATCATTGATGATTTCAAAGAACTAGTTGATGTATGCTTTAAAGAATTTGGTGATAAGGTTTCCTATTGAACCACCATGAATGAGCCCAACATTAACTCCTCCTCCTTTGATTATGATTTATTTCCTCATCGTCGATGTCGCATCGTTATGCAGTTGAGTTGTACAGAAAAAAAATATCCTAACTGGTTTAGCCAACCAAATCCGCCTCCTTATGGTGGCCAACCAGATATTTTCCTATGAGCCTGAAGTTCCTCCTACCCCGGTAGTATGATGCCGGAGCTGAGCTGATTTATCCGATTAAACTTCAGTCTAGTTTTATTTCTTTTGGTAGCGTATATGGCTACATAGAATTAGCGCTCTCTTGTTTTGAGTGTAGCTTATTATGGGTTACATTTGTCTATAAATAGGAGCCTTTACTTGTAATAGAGATTAGATTGTTGAGATGAATATGATTTGAGTTTATTCTCATGTGTTTTCCTGTATCCTAAGAGTGATTCTTAGGTGGTGGATCTTGCTCCAAAGAGTTCTTGGAGTGGTGTCCGACGACCGCCACCGGATCGTCGACGTGGATTCGTCGAGCCCCCTTCGGTCCGGTGTCAGGCTATATATTATTGAGTTGAACACAATCGAACAAAGCTTTATTCATATTTGACTTGTTAAATGTATGAGCTTATAAAAAATAGTTATACTCGTGTGTTAATTATTGAGCCGAACATGATCAAATCCAAACAAAGAGTATTTTTGCTAGTCTTATTTGTGGGTGACTTCGTGGTTGTTATTGGAGAGGATGATGTCGTTTTTTGTGGGGAGTACATTTTTAAAGGGCTGATTGATGCTTTGTCCTTTTCCGATTGTGATTATTGTGAGAGTTTTTATAAGAACCGGTTTATCCGATTCAACTGAACCAGACCTTGCGCTAAGCAGGCGAGCGGAATCACGAATGAAGTAGGACGAGTGGACCAGACAAACGGATTGAACGCAGGTACGAACGTTTCAGATGGGATCAGATCGTGGGTTTGAATTAGTAATCACATATGGGAGTGAAAAGCAACGACTCCTCGTGTGAAATATCTCCGATCCACTCACTCCATTTGAACCATACGAATAGAAGAGGCTGTGAAGATGAAGCTAACTAAGAGGAAGAAGAAGGAGAGGGAAGGTTCCATTACTGGCATTGAGGGAGACAAAGAGTGTGGAAGCTAGGGAGAAGGATCAAGCGAGCAAGCGAGCAGGCTAGGGCACGTTAGATTTTTATGTGAGTAGTTCAAGGTAGGTTTTGTTATGGAAATTGTATTTAGAAAATTTATTTTAAAATTTTTTAGCATATCTTTTAAAATTAAACTTGAAAATAATAATGAGATTATGAAAAAAATTTAATTATTATTTTTGATAAAATGTATTGTTGAGAGAGAGAAAGAGAGAGAGAGACTATGCAAATTTTATGACATCTTTTATATAATTTTAATTAGATAATTAATAAGTCAATTTTGTATGAATCTAATTAAATAAGAATAGATAATTTATTAGGATATATGAATTTATCCGGATCAGGTTGTGACAAAAATGTTATCAAAGCTATGTTAGTATCTTAGGAATATGAATTTTCATGAAAGAGCCATAGGAATAATTGTTAAAATTATCCGTAAATAATTTAGAGATTCAATTAGATAGTATATTTAATTATGCCTTATATAAATATATTAGGTATGCAGATGATCAAGAGGGGTAACTGATAGAAATATGGTAGGAGAAGAAGTACCACCTGAAATGACTGTGAACACCAATACCTTTACCCAGATGATGACGGCTATGACCTAACTACTTCAGGAATTATCGCAACATAGAGTAGGAGTTGATAAATATCTGAAGTTATTCTAGGACATGCGACCACCTCTATTCAAAGGTAACGAGGGACCGAATAAGGATGAAAATTGGCTGCTTCATATAGAGAAAATATTGGATAGTCATGTCCTGGTGAAAAGAAAGTGTCACTCGCTGCATTTGTTTTGGATGGAGAAGCTAAAAAGTGGTGGAGACGACAACATGAAGACATGCTAGAAGATATTCGAATATTACTGGTTAACTGGGAAGACTTTGTAGAACTTTTCAGAGAATGATTTATACCTATGTCAGCAAGGAGGCAGATGTGGGACAAATTTGTAAGACTGATTCAAGGAGATAAATTAGTGATGTAATACAAAGCAGAATTTACAACCTTATCTAGATATGCATCACAACTAATTGCAACACTAGAGGAAAAATGTTATCGATTCCTATCTGGTCTAAAGATGCAATCAGGCAACCTTTATTACCTTTAGGAATCGAGGATTATACAATATTGGTAGAGAGAGCAAGAAGGGTAGAGATTGATTTTCAAATGACTTAGAAGTGAAGAGATCAACATAAAAGGAAGAGTGTTGAAGAAGATATCCAAAGCAATCATAATGAATGATCAAATGGAAAGAAGCTTATGTTTATCCCTAGTGGAGTTAGTAGTGCTGTTGCGAGTAGAGTCATGGAAGTTTGTGCTAAGTGTAGTAGATTTTATAAGGGTGAATGTTTGATGGGCTCCAACACTTGCCATTGGTGTCGTCATTTTTGACACATAGCAAAATATTGTCCAACTTTGGTGCAAAGGACTTCAAGAGAGATGAAGATCAAGTGAAATATCTTCACAGAAGAGCTTTGGCAAACAGAAGATGATATAATCAACATTTTCAATTCCAGCACAAACTCAACCAAGACAGAATATTCAAGTGCGAGTTTATGCTTTGACCCAACAGGAGCTTAAGGAATCAATAGATATTAACAAAGATGAAGAGATGTCTTTAATATAGTAACTTGTTATGTTACATAAGATATTTTACTTTATCCAATTATCTTATTATGTTGTAATGGATGTTTTGTTTTATTCAGTTATGTATTCACTGTTAAAGTTTTTGTTAAATGAAAGAAAAAAATGTTATTTTGTTTATATATCAAGTATTTATTTACAATTAACTCATAACAGTATTTTATAACTAATACGTACTAGTTAAAATACACGTGCTCCAATTGCATGTGAGTAAATTTTTAAAAATAAATCTAAATATAATAAAATATAATATTATATTTATTTAATT